GCTTTGCTGTGCTGTGTGGTGGGCTGGAGGAGACCTTGCTCAATCATGGATCCCAAAGATGCTTGGACTGCAGGCTATTTGGGTTTTTTAAGTATCTTCAGGCATTACTACATTAATAGCAAAGTATACTCTCGTCTGGTTAGAAAGCAGAGCAGCTCATGCAGATTGAACCATTGATTTTGGCCAGTCTTGTTTTCTTTAACACACATTTGGAGAGCTCCATTCTGTAGATACTTAGGATGGTTCATCCTAAATCTATAGATTATCAAATGTGCACCACCCCATCCCCCCAGTTTAAACTTCCAAGAGTCTCCTTTCCCTAACTTCCTTTTATACAAATTTTTGCAAATGCATGTTCTATGAAAAGGCCTAATATTTTTCTCTTTTAAACTTTTTAATTTTCCTTTTTTTTTTTTTGCCTGAGAAAGCACTTTGATGACTACATTTTATTTTTATGTTAAAAGAATCATTTCAAATATACAGCATTGTAGAGAAAACCATTCATTTATTCATTAAATAATTTAATGAGGTTCCACTGTGTGTCAGGCACTATGCTAGTTCCAAGAATACACAGCCCACAAAATGAGGTGCCCAGTGCCATCCAGCCGCCATTCAAAGTTTCCAATAATAGAGCATAAGGAAATGATGTAACCTAACCTACCACTCCGGCTTTGTCTGTTCTGACCATTTCATAATATTTGTTTAACATTTTTAAAAGAAAATTTTGCAAATACAATTCAAGTCCACTTCTCTCAGTTCCCTCGTCACCCCCAGAGGCTAATTTTTGAGCTCGGTATTCACGATTTCCATGCATGGTTTGATGACTGCACTACATATGTATATATACATAAATGAACTCTCTTATTTTTGCATGTTTAGAACATTTTATAAATGGTGAATCATGGTGCAGCATCCTCTGCCTGCATTGTTTTCCGATGTGTCCATTTGGCAGTGTGGCTCCCTGCTCACTCTGTGTCACTGCTTTATAACATTCCATTGAATAAATACCTCTCTATTTATTCAATCCTCTTTGATATAAATGTAGATTGTTTCCAAGGTTTTTTTTTTTTTACCTTTACAGATAATGCTTTAATACATGTTATTATATATGTCTCTTTCTGTACCCTGTGTATCTAGGAGTAGGAGCCCTCGCTGGATTTGACACTGACCACATCCTTACTTTTACTAGATACTGTAAATTCTTCTTCGAATTGCTGTAGCAACCGATAGCATAATATATTTTTAAAGTCTCCCAAAAGAATTCTATTTAATTATATATTAATTATAGTGATGAGCTGCTGATTATCAGCAATTTCATAATGTATAAAGTGAATACTAAGAGTAGCATTCTGTGTACCTTCCTTGGTAGGTGATTATGGTTTATCACGTGGAGGATGGCAGTTTGAGAATTTAGCCAGATAGAATTGGGCCAGTCTACCTTCAATGGAAGAGAAGATAGAGAGCTAAAAATATGGATACTGATATTAACAGGGTAACCCAATATTATTGAACATACCTATCTTTTGTTTCACATCCTCAAGATAAAATTGTATATGGGTTGCTATTCATTGTTAGGCAATTCACTCACCCAAATTTATAAGCATTAGAGAGAAGACAATAGTAGAGGGTTATTCAAAAAGGATTGAATTTTTCCCCCCACAAGATTGAATTTGAAGTAATTTGTGCAAACAATGAAACTTTTTTATTTTATTTTATTTTATTTTGAGACAGAGCCTCAAGCTATCCCCCTGGGTAGAACGCCGTGGCATCACAGCTCACAGCAACCCCCAACTCCTGAGCTCAAGCGAGTCTCCTGCCTCAACCTCCCAAGTAGCTGGGGCCACAGGTGCCCGCCACAACACCCGGCTATTTTTTGGTTGCAGCCATCATTGTTGTTTGGTGGGCCCGGGCTGGATTCGAACCCATCAGCTCAGGTGTATGTAGCTGGGGCCTTAGCCGCTTGAGCTACAGGTGCCAAGCCAACAATGAAACTTTAAATCAGGCTCCATTTCCACGGACAGTGTTTATTGTTCTTCTCTCTCTGGATTCTAGACAGTCACCGAGTAGCCATCTAGCCTGGTGGCCTTGGGCATCAACTCTGCACCTAGAATGCTGGGTTTAAATCTTGGCTTTTCCTTTTGCTACTTGGGTAACACTGGGCAAGTTACTTACCCTCCCAGTGCTCGCCTATGAGAAATGCAAGTAATAATAGCATGAATCTCATAAAACAGTAGTGAAGATTAAAATAGCAACTGGTTCATAGTAATCATGACGTAAGCATGTACTATTATTAGCACCTCAGAAACATGTGCTTTTTCATCCAGAAGGGAAAGGAGGAACTTTAGAAAAGCAAAGTTAATATACAGCAATACAAGATAATAAGATAAGAGCTCTAGATTTGCTAGAGATTCATAGAGATATGTGTGCATGTGCATACACACACACAAAATCACTTGGGTTAGTTATGGAATTGATGCTTATTCATATACCTTCCCTGAGGGCTTGGCTTTTGAATCTTCAAAAGACCAGTTGCAGGGAGGCTTCACCTGGAGACAGTCCTGGACCATAAGTCTTATGAACCCAAAGACAGCATTATATCAAGCTTGCTGGCTATTTTGATCGTAATGCTCTTCTCTGTGCCATTACTAGGAGCTTTAGATTTCATCAGAAATTCAGGATCATGTTACGTGGCAATGCAAATTGGGGAAATCAGTTAAGAAAAGAGCTCCTTGTTGGTATAAGTGGATTATTTGAACTCTTAACAAGTAGATGGTCAAACTCAATTATGTTTCCATAATTATAAAGATTATTTTTCTGCCCATTACACTTCTTGTGACTAAGCTCCGTGAGGAAAAGGATTATCCTATCCTCACTGTGAAGCACTTCACCTGACACTTGGTAGGAACCTGGGAACTATTTGTAGGATAGGGATAAATGGATTATAGCATGGCTTCCTCAAGGACAGAGCAAGCTCAGTTTGCTCCAGTTGTTTTGAGAATTCACGTAGGGTTCAAACAATAAGACAACGTTCCAAAAAGATGGGGATCATATTTTTCAAAGCCTTAGATGTGTTTTCAGCTTTGATGTGAACTTTTTCATTTATATCTGCCATCTGAAAGGTAAACACATAACCATTTTATACAATGCAGATTTCCCTATAAAAAGGCCTTTTTAATGCAACTTCATACTTTACTCCTCTCATCATGTGAAAGGGATTAATAATTATTATTTAAGAACTTATTATGCTTTGCATAGATTGCCTCATTCATTCCTCCAGCCCCTTCCATGCTACAGTTATTCCCATTTCATAGGGGGATCCTGAGATACGGGGTTGAGTGACTCTTCCAAGGTCACACAGTCACTAGAGTTCAAACCTAGACCTGCCTGGACTCTGTATTCCCCACTGCCTCCTGAGAAATCCTATATAACAGGGCAGTTGCGCTGTCCATTTCATAAAGAAATTGGGAGACAGATGAACAGTAGGGGACAGAACTGGAGAGAGAGCTCAGGACACCCAAGTGCAGGCCAGTGCTGTGTCTCAGTTCCATGCTGCTATATACATTAGACCAGAAAATTCCTCCGTTTAACTATACCAAGCTGGAAGCGTGCTTTCTTCCTAATTTGTTATTGTTAGGTAGTTTTAGATATTGAGTGACCACTGTGTGCTTATACACAACACACTTAATGACGCAGCATCATTCATTCAGTGACATGACCGAGGACATCCTGCATGGCAGGGCCAGCTCTCCCTGCTGGGAGGAATGGGGAAGAAAGCTCATTGAATGGGTGATCTATTTATTTGACAAGGGTACAAGAAGCAGGTGGAAGCAGGTCCCTAGACCTTTCATCTACCCAGAATCTGCTTATACCTCTCCTCCCACCTCTGCCTGCTTCTGCTTGCTTCTCTGGAGCTGCCAACATCACTGTCCCTTGCCTAAGTGATTATTTTTTAGAATAAGCAAAACCTTCATGGCTGTTTGGATGACCAGCTGGTATTGGCTGTACTGACTGGACTTTTCTTTAAAATCAAGAACTATAGGTCCTAAGCTGATGCCAGAGAGATTGGGGGACATACATCAGGATCATGAAATAAAAGTGTATCTCAGATATTGGCAACCTAAATGTCATTCATTTAGAATCTCATCTTGATCAAACTACGGCTGGAACAGATTGGCTGAAGTCTCCTCTCAGGAATCCACAGACTGTTCCAGTGAAGGTGGTGGGGGTGGGGAAGGCCCGACCTTAGTGGTGGTGAGCCTACTACCTAAAGGTCATTGTCACCTTTAATTTCCTTTGCTAGCACATACGGACCTGAAGTTGCATCAAAATGCTGAGATTGCTTTTTAGTGGCCTGAGAAGCTTTTTGTTTCCCACTTAATGGCTCTTTGAGTTTAGTTATGCCAGATTTGATTGTCATGATATAAATGTGATCATAGCTGATGTAAATAAGCTTGATGGATAAAATCCACACTGGTCCCATTGGGATTATTTTCTGGTTTTCCTGTTTATGAAGATACTAAGACAATCTCTAGTTATGCTGTCTAATGTGGTAGCCACTAGCCACATGGACCTATTTAAATTAAATACTTAGCCTCACTGCCGCACTAGCTCTATTTCAAGTGCTCAGTAGCCACATGTGGCTAGTGGCTGCCAAGTTGGGTGGCACAGATACGGAATGTTTTCATCATTGCATTAAATTCTATTGGGCATCACTGATGGGAAGCACGGAGAGGGCTGCTTTGTTATCTAAAACGTGATACAGGATGAAAACTAGGGATATTGAAAACTAGGGGTCAACTAGCAAATAAATTTCGCCTGTAAGATGAATGCACAGCCAGAACTTCCCATCTCCCCCTTTCTCTCTCACCCCCAGCACCACCAGGTGCTTTCTGACTTTCTCCTCTCATGCTGAGAGAAAGGAGGAAAGAAAGCGAGGAGTTAGCCTGTGCACATAATTAACATCCATGAACTCTGCGTAACTTTTTCTCTTCTCTCTCCAGGTCCTTGAGGCCACACGGGTTAATCGAAGAAAGAGCGCCCTGGCCTTGCGCTGGGAAGCAGGGATCTATGCCAACCAGGAGGAAGAAGGCAACGAGTAAACGCTCTCCAACCCAGGGAGCTCCTTTGGTGCTTGGGATACCAAGAAACCAAGAAAATCACAACTCACAGCATTTTAATGGACTGTTTATTAAAGTCCACACAAACTCAGCAATCCTTACGTAGACCAGAAGCAGCAATACACAATGATGAGAAATAAAACGAAAAGGAAGTCCACTCATCAGACGCTGACACCCAGGAGTCAATAGAGAAAGGATTTGTTTTTTTGTTTTTTTGTTTTTGATGACTCAAAGAATCTCAATGCCTGGGATTTGGACCAATCCACAATTGATCCAAAAGGACAAAGACTTAACTAGCAAACCAACATAGCTGCTAAAGGCAGGGCAGAGACCAGCCTCGCCGGATGGTGAGGAAGAACAGTGGTGACAGGGCCATTTAGAGAGCTCTAGGGCCCGGGCTCATGAGTCCACCAGGCCTAGGAGGTCTCTCTGCGCCCGTGTCCCACCTGTCACTCACAGCATCAGAGGTGTTGTATTAATTCCACTTTCTCCAGCAGCCATAAAACGATTCGTGTCTCTTCTCCACCCTTGCCGAGAGGAGGCGGTTAGGATTCCATTTCCCTTACATTTACTTGTTTTTAATCAATTGGGTACACTACGTGATTGCGATTGATAAAATCCTTATTTTTAAGGCAAGATTTCTTCATGTTGCAAACACAATCTCTTCTACGTCCAGAGGCTGAGGAAGGGGGAGAAAGGCAAACCAAATGGGTGATTATAGCTTTAGGATCATGTCTGCTTGTAATACATTGACTGATCTGCCATTCACAAGAACACATTTTCTCCATTATGTTTCTTTATAGGAAAGTAACTCTATTTAGTGGGCAACAACTATTTTTATGATGGGATGGGGGAATATATGTATAAAATCTGTACACATTGAACAGCTTGGTTCAAGATGGTAGGGGATATTTTTAGAGTGGCAATAATTGAAAAAAAAGGGGGGGGCGAACTCTGCCTTAGAGAGATAGACAACGGGAAATAAAAAAAGGTGTTTATAACTATTTTGTACTATAAAGTTGGCCTTAGCGGGAGGAAGATCAATGGATTGTTTGGGGTCCATCAAAATGGAAACATAGAAGTTCTGAAGGAAGAGGGAGAGAAAGGGAGGGAGGGAGAAAGAAATGGGACGACAAGAAGGAAGGGAGAGAGATTATTTTTGCTGAGCAACCAGTGTTTTTTCAGGGTGATAAGAAGAAAAATATAGAATAGAAATTTAAGTGCAGGCTTGGAATCAGCTACATACAGATGGGGTGTGTGTGTGTGTGTGTGTGCCTGTGTGTGTTTGTGTAAGCTGTGTATGTACTATGAGTAAGGGTGTGTGTGTGTATTAAAATTCCAGAGTGATCATGGCACTTGGGTGTACAGTTAATTCCTCCAAAGCTATTTGCCAGCTACGGGAGTGAGTGAGAATTTCTTTTTTATGAAAAGGGATATAAAGGCACCGAGCTGATGCAGGATTTGTAATATTAAATTGACCTAACATGGTATTTGCATGAGTCATGATGGCAAAGTTTTGGGCGAGTTTTGTAAGCTGGCATTTAGGCAAGTACCCTATTTATTCTCATGCCTTGTTTTCACGCTTAGTGTATGATAGAGGATGCCAGCTTTAATCTTTCTGTCATTCAAAGCAATATAATAAGGGTATTCAATAACTGGGTGCCCTCGATTTCTGGATGAGAAAATTTTCAGTTCTGGCCGTGAAGGGAAAAAAACGAAACAAAAACCAGCCTTCTTTTTTTTTCTCCTTGGTTTTAAAACGATGGTTTCTTTAAAAAGCAATAATTGCGTCAGACCTCACTAAAACTCATTTCTGTTTTCATACTGTCATGTCATAAGCTCTAACAAGTAGCTGTTCCATGAAATTTGTATGTAGACGTTATGCACATTACCTTTGCTTCTTTTATTAAACTAGTGTTGACTCTGGGGGGAAGTTTATTCACAGGTAAATAGTGGGCATGAAGTTAAAAATGGAATTCAGAACAAGGATCCTTCAAAACTGCCAAGGGAATCTCCTAAGTTAAAGGTAGACTCTACCGATGATAGCTGAAATAACAGATGGGCAGTTGGCACCATCTTTATATGGTTCGTTCTCCTGAATGTTCTGAATGAATTTTCAACAAAATGTGCTAGCCCTTGGGGACCCCAAACCAGTAAGATCTCTGCTGCAAAGCATTCGTTTTATGGTGGGGGAGTCTGGCGTGGAAGACAGTCATTCCAGGAGAGTGAGATCTGTGTTAAGACATCTCAACAGCTGAAATGGGAGTACCCAGGAGAGAGGACCATCTTTGCTGGAGCAGTTCCATCCAGAGATCCCTGGTGTCTGCACTGAGGACCCAGCAATTGGGTGTTCCCAAGGCAGTAGACACAGGGGCAGGAAGAGAGGAGGCAGCAGCGTCATGTGACCCCAGGCACCATGACAGTTAGGATGGCTGGAGAGTAGGCTAGTCTATGGGTCACACAAAATAATAGAAAGTGCTGATGTTTTCTGAACTGACTCAGGGATTCAGTAGAGATCATGGCATGATATAGACCAACGCTCCCATTTTTCATCAGAGGCAACTGTTTCCCTACGTGAAACTTACATTGGAGAAGAGAATTTGCAGCCAACAGGAAAGCTTAGGAGGCCTTACAATTTAGAGGCAAAGAGGTCTTTGACCATAGTTGATTGAACCGGAGCATTTACTTGCTTAAGGAATAATAAAGTTACAGAACTGACAATCTTTGGGCCTCTGCTCTCTGTGCAGATAAGAAAACAAACATCATTTCTGTGACTCTGGCAGTCACAAAGCTGTTTTCACTGTGGCCCCTACCCTACACCCCAACATTCGCTAGCTCCCCTGTGCTGCCTTCCAGATGACCATGGTCTATTTTCTTGCTCCACTCCCTGGTGATCCTAATCCTATTAAAATGTAAATTGCAGTTCCCCTGGGGATAGCCAGATTTTATTTTTTTCTTTGTGGTCCTGAGTTTTTATTCATTCAAGAAACAATTGAACCAGCCCCCTGCTTTGTACATAGCACTGTGCTAGGCTCTGGGATCCCCAGTGAACCCATTTAGCTTTCTGAAGATGGAACCGAGCCCTGGAGGAAAGTCAGGCCTACCTGATCCGAGAGAAAGAGGCTTCTTGAAAAACTTCGCCTCTGCTGCTCCGCTCCACCCCCCAGATAGCCCTGTCGCTGGTTTAATCTCAGCGGGAACACATGTTTAAATTCTGTGGCTGTTAAAAGCCTCCCAGAAAGCATTCCATTCTGTGGTGGTGATAGATGCTCACTTTCCTCCAGAGCCGATTACTGACATACCTTGGCTTTCTTATCCGGAAATTATGGAAACAGGGTCTGTCGGTGGCAGGAGGCGGGCTGTGTTCTACTTGGATGACACAATGCAATTTACTAGCCTCTCTCTTTCCTCGCATGCTGCCCACCCCGGGCAAAGTCATATAAGCAGTATATAGATTGGTGTCCACATATATACACACACACACACACA